TAGTGATTTCTAGTACTGCCAAATGAATGCAATTTCTGTTTGTTTACCACAGCCAACTGCGATCTTTCAAGCATCATCCATCACTTGGGAGGTGCATACATCATCCAAATGATCGAGAATCGAGAACAGAATTCCTGGCAGCCATGGCAGTGCATATGCCCCGCGGAGATCAGAACAGCAGGAGGGCATCCAAATAGATGAAATTCCAGCGGTGAAGGTGTTAAATGCCAGCGAGTGCAATTTACATCATCGATTTTATTAGCCGGCAGCGATTATAATTCAATTAAAGTGAAATACTTGCGCAATTTCCATACCATACTTTTACCCCTTTTTTCGTTACATTTCGGTGCGTTTCGATGGCATTAAGTTCGCTTGTTCCACAGCCAAATCGGTGGCGGTTAATTGGCGCATTTTGCTGATGTTTATTGAATATTATTATGATGTTTATGGCTTTTGGCTGTTATTGTCATGCTGACAAATTAGTTTCACACTTTGCCGGCGAGCCGCCAACGCCCCGAGCGAAACACCCACTCCGTTTCCATTTCCATTTCCAATCCATTCCCGCATCCACATCCACATCCACATCCACATCCATCTGGGCATCCAATCCGGGGATTTCATTCATGACTACTCCATGCCGGTTCGCTTCAGTATGGTTCATTTCATTCCGCTTTTAACTGTCCGCCCACCGCCTTTGGTTAGTTGGTGCACTGAGAAAACATGCATTGCCCAATATTTTATTTTCAATCAAATTTCAAATTCAATACCCAATTTTCAGCAATTTGATTGCTCCTAGAAAACATAGTCGTCCCGTTAAGTATGCAATACTTTTTGTCGCACTTTGCGCTTCTAGTTGTGTATGGCGCTTAACCACAATTTAGTTCATTTTGCGCAGTGCATTTATTTTCAAATTTCAGCGTTGAAACCGAACACTAAACACTGAAATCTGAAAACTAAAACTGGAACGGAGCGTTCCACTTTTGGCCGGGCCGCCTGCATTTATAATTAGTTCCAAATTTGTCGACGCCATGATTTGTTTTGGCCCCTTTTTTGGCCAAGTCCAGGTCTACGTCCAAATTGGTTTTTAATTCATAAAATCGAAAAAAAGGAAAGAAAAGAAATCGAAATTGAAATTTCGTCTGTCTTTATTTTGCTGGTGGTTGTTTTGCGTTTATTATTATGTCAGAAATAATCAACATTTCAAACATTCGACGGATGATTCGAATTGGAGCGTGGCATTTGGAGAATTTCGGGGTTCGTGTTAATTTTACGCAGAAATCTCCGGCATGCTAATCGAATCGGTTCCACAGTTCTTGATCCATGCACCGCAGTGGGTTGTGTTGGGGCTACTCAGTTTATTTCCGATGCGAATCTGAATCTGAATCTGAATCTGCTCATTTGAGGCCCAATTTGCAGCGAGATCAGATGTGTTTTTTGTACGTGTCCACCTTGTTCTGCACAGAGTTCTGACCACAAATACAGTACACCCCTTATTTAGTTTTGAAGGAAATATATGTTTAATCATTTGATTTCAGACTTAACTGGTGTTCATGTTCCACTTCAGCAAAATCAGTCCCTATTATCGCAGAACCCCACCCGGAATAACCTAAATAACCCGAGCTGATCTGGGTTGCTGGGCTTGTTGAGGCAATTAGTCGGCGACACGAGTGTCAACATGATTTGACCTCTGTGGGGCACATTTGTATGCAATCAGTTAACAATCAGCGGTGGATGTTGCCCCGCGATCCGTGAGATACAAGATACATTCGCGATGCAGTTCACTGATTGGGGGAGTGACACAAACAAATTCAAGTGGGCGGAATTCGCAACTGAGAACTGGATTGGAGAATAATCAAGGATATGTGTTTGCTGTATATTTCGAATAAATATATATAGATACTTATTTCCAAATACTGATTGCTGATAAGAGATAAGAGAGCGGAAACCAGTTGGCACGTTTCTTGAAAGGCAACTCCATAAGTTCTATCTATTTGATATACCGATTATAATGGCGTTCGATTTGTTGCCATTTCCATTTCAGTTAATTCCGTTTTAATGATCTCGCATTGCCTGATATATGGATCAGTTGGGGAGCAATTGCAGTGCTGATAGATGAAGTCATCGCCTGTCTTGGCGGCGATTTCTCTATATCGTTTCCTCTATCTGTCCGCCGAACAAGTGCGCTTGTATCTGGTATCTGACAGATACCTACATTTGCGATTTAGCCCAGGCTCGACATTCAGCTCGGCCATATCGGAAAAGACCTGCCAGCCTCGCGTGATCTTGTGTTGTGCGAGAGTTGGATCCGATAAACTGTTTCGTGAATGGGCCAATCGGGCGGTGCACTGAGAGAAAATGTTGAGGGCCATAGGTAATAGATATGCGAGCACAAGAGAAGTAAATACGAACTGCACTGTCAGTAAATCCAAGGAAATGCTCACATTGAAGACAGAAAATATTCCTATGACAGATGTACTTTTGATGTACAGCTTTGACACAATGCATCTAGTAATATAATACCATTTTGCGGAGACATTTAAGTGCACTCGTTTCATGATCTATTTGAGCGCGCAATCGCCTGCGATCGGCAATAAAAGTGTATCGCAAAGTCGTGGCCGCGCCATCGAAAGGTGAATTGATTTCAGTGAGTGCGGTGCAGTGACAGCTGCAATCAAAACAAAGTTAGGCAAACGTTTATTCACATTGTATATCAATAAAGTTTTACACATGCTTTGCATATTTGCGGCAATTACGCGCGCGACTGCGACTGAAAATCAGACAGCGTCGGATAATTGATGATTATGAGTATGAGTATGAGTATGAGTATGAGTATGAGTGTGAGTATGAGTTTGAGTTTGAGTACGAGTTCGAGTACGTCTACGACTGCGATATTGAGTTCTGGTTAAATGTCGTGAGCGTGTTCGGTGTGGCACATAAATAGGCAAGTGCAGATATCATCTCCGCGTTGGATTTTATGGACATGGTGGACAATTTGGTGTGGCTGGTCTATCGCCGATCGGAATCGCCGATCCGAAGGGTTCGGCCCGGCCAACTCAATCAACTGATAGCGCCAAGATGCAAATGCCAGCTCCCAGATGTTCCGCCGATCGATTTTCGAGAGATAGTGTCAACACGAATCGTGGAACGCCAACGCCAACGGCAACGGCAACGGCAACTAATCTGCGTCCCATGACTGTGGATGCTGTGGATTCGGATCTCCGGCGGTCTGCGCGTCTTTCGGTAGCCGCCACACCCACAGACACCACCTATCACCTACCACCACCCACCCACACACGTTACACGGCGAGAAAATAGGGCTTAGGTAATATTACTCACAGTGCAAAGGAACTTTTAATAAGATGTGAAATATTTAATGAGATACGAAACTACTTTCTGAAAACATGAATGAAATCGGTTTCAATTTGACTGTGTGCCGCGGTTTTTGAGTCCATATTTCAGCATGGATAAGATCGAGGTCTGGTATTTCTTGCAGTGCTCCAAAGCCAGAGTCACAGGGCCAATTGTCGTGCCACTGGCCGCGCCCCTCGACAGTTCAAAAACGGCAATGGCTAAAGTATATTCATTTGTTTGCCAATCAGCCTGTCAATAATTGTCAACAAGGTGTGACTATGCCAATATTTAATTATTCGATTTCATTCAACGGCAACAACATCACACCGGCAGTGCCAACAACTTGGTATTCGAGCGGGCTAACTGATTTCACTACGCTAATCTGGCGGGATTTCAATTGTTCAAGCATTTTGATAGCGCAAAGGCACCCAGTAGCTCTAAATCTCTAAATATACATCTTTTAAACAGATAGGTGCAGACTGGGGTTAGTACTGAGGCCAAACCCTTATGAATCCCTGGGAAACATGCCTTCTGGGGATCTCGAATCGAATTTGACTGCTGTTGCGCGCTCTCTAAACATTATTTGATATATTTTTCTATTCAGAACATACAATCTAACCGAGAATTAGCCCAAAAATGTAAAGAGCTCTCAGGCCGAAAAGGCATTTGACAATCATCATTCTGGGCCACAAGAGTCATTTGGATAATTTGGTGTGTCGGTTATAAAAAGCGAGATATAATTGCTCCATAATATAATTTATGTGCTTAATTGTCTGGTGTCTGCGGCGAAATGGCATTTCGAAAATTGAGTTGGCTAATAAAAATGGTCGATGAGAAAAGAACGTTGGCCCACAGATCAGTAAAACGAGCAGAATTTGATTGTTATTGTGTATATATATGAATGTATATATAACATATATATATTGGATATATTTCGAATATATTTTGTCTATATTTTAATTTACTCTCTTGTATTTGCATTTTTTGTTCCAATTTTTCATAATTCGGGTTTGATTTGTTTCGTTTTTATTGCTTTTGCGCATTTAACAAAAATCAAATAAATTCATCATCTCATCGCAATCGTCGTAATTAATAAAAAAATAAAAGCTTTATGATTTTGTAGTTTTTGTTTATTTCTCTGTGTGTGTGTGTTTTGTTGTTGGTTTTTTGATTCTCAATTTTTGTTTAATTCGTAAACACTAAATTTAAGTTATTAGTACAAGTTTTTAGCTCCTCATTGAATTAAATATTTTTGCTCGCCATTGATCAAGTATTTAAAATTAATCAATCAGTTATTAAAAATAGAATATGTATATATATTTTTATACAAGCTACAAAAAAAATCATTACGATAATAATAAACATAAAATAATAATAAGAATAATTTAATAGAATAAAAAATTAATACAATTTCTGTCTGTGTATGCGGTTGATTTTCTCTTCTTTTTGTTTCTTTTTCGTTTTGTTCTTTTTCTCTTCATGTGTGTATGTGTTCGTTTGTGTATAAATATGTGTACATGGCATTTTTTGAAATAGTTTTCGTTTTTTTTAACAAATTTTGTACATAATTATTGAAAAGTTCCCAAAAAATGTATTTTAATTTAAAAGTATACTCCTAAAAAGAAATACAAACATTTCGATGTGTATGTGTGTGCATGTCGAGTCTAAATGTATGTGTGTGTGTGTTGGTGTGCGTATGTGTTGGTGTGAGTAACAATTAGTACAAAATAATTTCACATTGAAAAGCTGCGTTTTCAATTTCCTTCATTTTCTTGCTTGCGAAAAACATATTTAAAGCTAATTATATTTTTGCCATTCAGTCAATCAGTTAAAACATTGGGGTTGCTAAAACATATCCATCGATACAAATGTCGATTTAACCACATAATGCGTCCCACTGTTCTTTTGTTTCTCATAAATTATAGATATATATGTATATATATATATATAAAGTATATATATGTATATATAAAAAATATGGTATATATGTATAATCAGAATAATTAGATTTAAGTTAATATTCCCACGACAACTGCTGCGCCATCGATTCGCTTTCAAATTTCAATTTAAATTTCAATTTAAATGAATTGAAAAGGTTTAAGTATTTCAATAAGTCAAATATGTGTGTGTGTGTGTTTTCAAAACTCAGTACAGTTTCAATTTCGAATTCTTTTGGTTTTTGGTTGTGGTTTTTCATGGTATTTTTTTTGTTTGTTTTGTAATAAATTAAAATTTTATTTTAATGTTTTTTTGTGTTTTCGGGTATTTGGATATTTGGGTGTTTGGGAGGGGGACTTTAATGGATGCGAAAAGAAATTCAGAAAATGCTTTCTATAGAAAATTCTGCGCTGGAGAATTTAAAGCAAACTGCACTGGTTTTAATGTCCTTTTGCAAGGATCTCATTAGCTCTCTTTCCCTCTCTCTATTACTCCGCTTTCCTCCATACAATATATATATTTTTTTTGAGATTTCTCTCCCACGTTTTCTCGTCCGTTTTCAAATATATAATACAAGTTCTCATTGCTGCCACATAAACAACAACGATCTATGCAACTCCTTGCACAAGTGTGTGTATGTGCTCGCTTGTGTGGGCTATGTGTGTGTGTGTAGATGTGGGTGTGAGTGTGTGGTGTGTGTGTGTGTGTGGTTGGGTGGTGCACATCGCACTGAGTGGTGGTGAGTGAGTGGCTCGCCCCCCTGCCGCCAAGGATCTGATACTGGATTGGGATCCCATCCGCCACGTGGAGCCGCTCAGCTGGAGGATCGCTGCTGGTGGTGCGGCTGCCTCTTGTGGTGGCGCCTCGACCGCCGGCACTGGGTGGAGCAGCACTCGTCGATGGCCGGAGCCGCTGCGTCCGGCTTCTCGAACAGACGCCGCTTGCTGGTCACGCGGGTCTGCTGCTGGCACGTGGAGCGGGAGCAGCGTTTGCGATCGCAGTTCACCTTGGAGTCCTGGAATGAGAATGAACGGGGTGAGTTGGTTAGCTAATAAATCATTTAATAGATAGCAGATAGTGAAATGCACTACTAAATAATGCAGTAATAGAAATGAAATAGGACGTTGGGTATTGAAACTCACCTTGCAGCGGCACTTGATGCACTTCTGCTCGCCGTGGGACATGAGGATGGGATGCCACTCCTGGCCGTTCTCGTACACCTTGTTGACCACCTTGCAGCCGCCGTTGGCCAGGACCTCCTCGGCACTGTGGCTCGGAGAGCGCTGCATGGCCTGATCCTGGAGCACATTGGGATTGTTCGGCGCCGCCTTGTGTCCATTGGAACTGCTCTGCTTGCCCTCCGGACAGATCTTGCAGCAGGCCTTCTTGTCGGGGCGGTAGGCCAACTTCTCGCTGCACTGCAGCGGCGGACAGACCAGGCGGGGACAGCGGATCTCGAGGGTCAGGGGATCGCAGCTGCAGGTGGTGCAGGTATCGAAGCCGTTGGGCGGCAGGAATGGATGCCAACTGGCACCGGCGAGATGGAACTGCTCGCCCAGGCGGCAGCCGCGTCGCTGTTGCAGCAAGTCGGTGGCATTGGTGGCTGGCGAGGATTGGGATGAATAGTCGGCGGCCTCCTTTTTGGACACACAGATGGGACAGCATTCGCCCTCCCGCTGCAGCAGCTGCTCCGTGGACTTGCACTTGAGAGCCGGACACTTGATCACCTCGCAACTGGATTGGCCACGCAAGCAGGCGCACATCTGACAGGAATCCTGGGCACTGCGCCACTGCTCCGATTCGTTGTAGAAGCGTCCGGAGTGGAAGCACTTGGTCTCTCCATTCACCAAATGGTTATCATTGTGGTCACCGGGCACTGGAACATTGTTGTCCGTGTAGACGGGGAAGCAGTGACCCGGCACCTTGGTGCTCTTCAGTTTGCCACGCAGCAGGAGTTGCTTCGAGTGCTTGGAGTGGACCTCCAGATAGCAGACGCTCATCTCCAGCTTGATCAGTTCGGCGGATGGCATGCTGAGGAAGAAGCCCTCCAGATAGGAGCCGTTGAACTCCTCGAGCAGCTTTCTCGTCACCGGCGCTCCGATCGCCTCGATGGGCTTCTCCTCCAGATACAGCTGCAGATCCTGGGCGGGCACACCGTTGAGCGTCACCTCGTAGTGCAGATTGCACTCGTTGTCAATGGACATCCAGGCCATGCCCACGGCATGTGGATTCTGTGCATCGGGGTGCTCCTGTCGCTTCAGCAGAATGGGTTCCGCCGAATCCCGAGCATCGGCCACTGGTCGGGGCACCAGACGACCACGGATCAGGCTCGTCTCATGCTCGGTGGCCACATTCACGCCCAGTTCGCCGGCATACAGCGACTCGAGGACCTTGGGACCCAGCTTCTCCACACTACCAATGGCCTGGTTAAAGTTGAAGCTCGGCGTCAGATCCTCCAGCTTGGCCTTCCGCTTGCCCTGCTCCTCAATCAGACTGATGTTGGGTCTGTCCCGGGTGTTCACGTGCTCCGTCTCAATGTTGTAGGCCAGGGATCCATCGGTGTTCAGGTATACCCACGCCAAACCGCTGCTCTTGGTCGAGGATTCGGCACTGTGCGGCGCCAGCAGGGTCTGGAAGATCTCGCAGCTGGCACGGGTCACGATGTGTCCCTGGATGCGCAGATGTGGGTACTTCTTGGACTCCACGGTCAGCAGGAGTTTGCCACGCGACATCAGGCGGAGATTCTGTATGGAAATGGGCGACGACAGCTCCAGGACATTAATCTCGGCGGAGGGCTTGCGCACACGGGGAATCTCATCGAAGATCACCTCCTTGCGTTCCGCCAGCTCAATTTTCACACTCAGAGCGGCATCGGCATACTCCTCAGCGCCAAAGACGCCATTGAAGACCAGGGTGAGATGCATCGATGAGGCGGCACCGCTGCTGGTGGACACGATGGCTGTGCCACCGGCTCCGGCCAGCTGGGGATCCGTTTTGCCATCGGGAAGTGGTGCCTCCAGCAGCGAACTGAACAACTCCGTTTGCAGGGCCGTATATTTGGCCACCTTTCCGGCCAGAGCCAACTCGGCCTGCTGCTTGTTGCCCCAAAGGAGGACCACATGGAGCCGATCGTCGCGCAGGATGCGCTTGTAGTCCCGTGGAACTCGTCGCCATACACCGCAGATCTTGCCCGTGGCATTCTGATAGACACTCAGGGTGCCCGCCAAGGTGGTCTCCAGTTGATGCTCCTCCAGTATGACACCCGCATCATCGACGAATTGAATGGCACGCGGACGACCGATTCGCGACGAGGTGTAGAAGGAGTAGTAGAGGTTCTTCTTGTGGAACAGGAAACGGGCGGTGGCCACCACGTTCTGGGGATTGTAGGTGGTGTACATGGACTTCATTTCCTCGCCCTTGAGGAAATAGGAGGTGCGGCCCGTCAGCAACGCAGCGTAATCTGAAATAGCAATCAAATGGAAGGTGGAGATAATCCAGGTGTTAGATAAATGGTTCCTTGGCTATTAAATGGGGCTGCTGGCGCATGGGACTACGATTTTCCGCAGGATTTGGCGGATTCTACTGGGATCTGGGTGGGTGTCCGGGACTTTTGTACTTACGTTTCATGTTGCGCTCTTCCTCTTCATTGGGCACTGGCACATCCAAGGCCACATCCGTATCTGAAAGATGCAGGGAATACAAATAGAGAATGAGATGATGCTGGGCGATAAGGTAGGACCTTAAATGGAATTTAGATAGCAACAAATGCTTCAAAGCAACCGGACCGCCAGCCATTCATCCTTCCATCCTTCCATCCATCCATCCACAATTTGTGGACACAATTCCGGCATTCATCCAGAATTCCAGTTGAATGGGTGAATGGTGAATGGCTGAATGGACGGGTGGCCGGATGGACGAATGGACGAATGCCAGGGGATCATCATGAATGGCAATGCAGCCAGGTAGAGATCCCACCTCCGAACTAAGACCTTCCTATTCCACCTCTCGCTTCCACCCAGGTGGCCTTCATTAATCGTGCATAAATTGAGGGCAGGTAGAAGGCAGCGTTTCTCGAACGGGAAGTCTAACCTACATCTAACTAGGGAAGTGCTTTGTAGTTGAGGATCTGAGGGTTCGGGTTCCCGGAATCCACATGACACGCTCATTTGGCGTGAAAGTGGGTGGACACATTTCCGCTGTCCCGCTGATTGACACACCGGCAGAGGCTGCGCATAAATCACCATCTCCATCATCGAATCGGAATCAGAATCAGAATCAGAATCGAAATCCGAATCCGAATCCGAATCGGAGAATCGCAGTCAGTTCGTTAGAAGTGGCAGTTCAGCGACAAAAGCTGATTAAAGATGGAGAAGCTGAGGAGGAAGACTGTGCCTCTGAAGACTGGACCTCTGATTCTTCGCGCTGTCGATGATGCCGCATTGGCATTTCGATTATTTTATGCTGCTCCTTCTTCTTCAGCTCAAATCCCCGGCCTTTAAGCCGCAAAAAGGGAAAAATAAAGAAAAGATATATACGAAAAAAATCAAGAAAAAAGGAATGAACTGAAAGAGAACTTCGGGCCGGCATCGCATAATGAAGGGCGACAAATCTGACACCTTGTATAGCATTTTATTGAGAGCCCCGCACCAGGGTCTCCTCTTCCTCTTCCTCTTCCCCGGCTCCTTGCCCGCTGCTTCATCTTCTTCTTCTTGGCGGCTTCTGCCGTCCGATCTTATCGCCTGATCTTAATACGAGCCACTTCGCCAGCCAGCCAGCCAGCCAGCCGGCCATCCGGCCAGCCAGTTTTGGCTTTAGACTGGGCTTTTTCCCTGCCCCCAACTTCTCGAATCGCTTCTCGCCTTTTCTTTTCAATTTGTGGCTCTACATTCTTGGGGCTTATTGGTGGTGTCTTCTCCACGGAGTCGCAGGCATCTCTGCCCTTGAATCGCGCTTGCAGATGAATGAAATTTTCGTTCTTTTTTGTTTTTTTTCCATTTCGTAGGTCTTCGCTGTAAGCCAAGATAAATGAGTTTTGGTGCGCACAAAGACGACGACACGTCGAGCAGCGCGCAGTGGATGGGGTTACCCCTTGAGCGGACAAACGAAGTGGCGGACAAACGGACTTACGGACAAGCGGACAAACGGACAAGCGGACAAACGGACAAAGGGCCAGAGGAGCAGATGTAGCGGGGGTATGAGCCGACAAAGCCGCGACCGAAAGACAAACGACACCTCGGCATTGAGTCAACGCTTTGGTATGTGGGGCCGGCCCCAAAAGAATCTCGGCGGCAGCTCATTAACAAAACTGAAGAATTGGAAGGGGGTAAACAAAAAACCGAAAACCGAGAAAAAAAAAAAACAGAAACAGAAACAGAAAATAGAATCGTTTGAAAGTGTTTCCCAAATGTGCGGCATTTGGAGATATACGGTTTCCACAGAAATCCCGAGCACGTGAGAATGATTTGATAAATCAGTCTCGAATTTCATGTCATATTACCAGGTGTGGGATCAACACCATGAACACCATAAAACGGACTAGTGGAGTGGGGATGTGCCATGCCCTAGCCATATGAAGCAGCATGTCCACAGTTATTGTACGAATTAGATAGTAAGAGTTCTGGATGGGCAACGGCATCGAATATCACATGCGCTGATCAGTTTGTGGGGAAACCATTAGGAAATCGTCAAGTTCATTATAAACGCTCCCCAACTCTTTCGCCCCTCTGCCGCACCGCACCGCTCGAAAAGTATAAAATCCCATTATAATCTCCGGTTTAGATCATTCGATTCAGATAGGTTTTCGGAGCCCAAACCGACGCCTTGTTAGCTCTACTTCTCGGCCTTATCGCGATCCACAATCTTTGCTCGGGCAACGAAAATATAAAGGCCGGCGAGTGGGAATATAATAGACAGTTCCGTTCGCCGCTGCCGCTGCCGCTGCCGATGCAGAACCGATAAAGATACAGATACAGATACAGATAAAGATAAAGTTGAGGATTTTATTGTTCGATGGCGCACCTCACGCCCGGCCATAAAAATGAATTTGGCCCGGCGATCCTTTTGTGGCACAACAAAGTTGCTGCTGCTGTTGCTGCCGCTGGGATCTCCCATCTTCGATCTGGATTCCGATCTTCAGATCTTTGAATTCGGGGTGGGGGTTGGGAAAAGGGATGGACCGACCACGACCACAAAAGATGTCATCAAGTTGAATTGTCAACTCTGGCGACTTCGCCTAATGGGATCGATGCGATGCGATGCGAGTCGATATGAGTCGATGGAATCGAAAAGCATTAACTTTTATTGTCTACCTGGGGATATGGCCCTGATCGGCCGTCTCTTTCCACCTTTCTCTCAAACGGGGACCGCCCGCCGTTTGTGGCGGCAAATGAGATAATTTAATAAGCGTTAAAATGCCCGAGTTATGTCATTATAAAAATGAACGAACAAAAAATGCCAGGCATAAATTAATGCCGCTTGCTCTTCGTGGTCAGATCGCGGCAGCTTCTTGGATTTCGAGGAGCAGGAGGAGCTGGAGGAGCTGGAGGAGCTGGAGGAGCTGGGGGAGCTGGGAAGCTGGAGGGGCGCAAGGAGCAGAGCCAAAAGATTCGAGCCCAAAAATGGACATTTAACGAAGGTAGGCAATTGTTGATGTTGATTATATGGCCATGTCATGAGCTTCAAGCTCCAGGCATCGGCTCTTCGGGCTGACAACTTGGCCAGGACGCGCAGCAGCTACAGTGGAGCTTCGCTGTCACAGCTCCCATTTGAAACTGAAGTTTTAAGTTCAGTTTCAAGACTAATTGGGGACTGCTAATCTTTTCTAACCGCAACTCAGCTTAGAGCAGTTAGCAGTTAGCAGACTGAGGGCCACTTGCAGTGGCTAAGATAGCTGCTTGGATGCACTCGTATTTGAGGTGCCCCATTTTTTAGAGTGCATCAATAATATGCGGAGTATGGGGCAAAAAACCAAGTTAGGCAAAAAATAACTTTGGAAGCGATCGTTGTGAGGCTGGTAGAGCAGTACTTGCATTGTTGCTGCTGTTGTTGCCGCGAAATATTTGTACAATAGCACAGGCCATACTAGATGGCTAGCTGCTAGATGGCTAGATGCTGCCGGATAGATGGCTAGATGGCTGACTGCGTGAGAGCCAAAGAGTCTCGCTGGAAAAGCCGCGCCCGTGCCTTCTAACTATTTATGGCAAACGAGTTGCGTTGGGAGTTTTCTTTTTGGAAGCGGCGCAAGGCAAAAAAAATAAATAAATAAACAAATTGTAAAGCATAGCAGAGGAAAAACGAGAAAAGAAAACCATGAGCAGCGACGGAAAAGTGAAATTGTTTTCGGGTTGGAAGGTCCGCGGGTCAACGGCTCTTTGCATAAGCCAAATGAAAAATTGCCGCAAAACGGAAACTAATGATGTGATGCAGCGACCGCCTTAACCCCTCAACCGCACCGTGCCGCATTCCGCCCACCCCCCTCCCTCAGCTCCATTCCCGTTCGGTGGCAACCAGTTTGCCCCATGCCACACAGCAACTTCCAGTAAACCAGCAACCAGCAACCAGCAACCAGCAACTGGCAACTGGCAACAGGCAACTGGCAACTAGCAACAAGCCACCAGCAACATGCAACATGCAGCAGCAACTGGAATTCAGACAGCACTCGCCTGATTATGTGAAAAATGTCACAGAGAAAAGAGCCACAGAGTTCGTCACATTCTCTCGAAGTAACAAATAACCCATTTTGATTAAATTGGCCAAATCAGTAGGAACATAAATTTGCAGCGCGTACTGCACATACAAATGCTACCAACTGAACTGAGGGCAAAAAAGTGAAAGAAAGCGGTTGTGGCTCAGTCTCTAAGTCACTGAGCTTTTCGGTTTCTCAGTTTTAGACTTTATAACTCCCCGTAATTGGTCTATTAAGGCGTTGCAAATGCGGCACGTGCGCCCCCAATGGGACCCCTTCAAAGTGCTCAAATAAATACTTGAAATACATTGTATCGCCGGCGGATCCGCCACGATAATATTATAAACCCATAGTAACAAAAACACAAACAGAAACAGAAACAGAAACAACTTCAGGCGCCGTTGGGGCGATATAAAATAGATTGAAAATAAAATAAAATAAAACAAAGCGAGCGAACTACACGAAAAAAGCATGGCACGCAAATAAATAAATGCAAAAGTCGCCGAAATAAAAATGAAAAAAGCAAGAAGAATGTGGCCATTATCCGAAGTAGTGGACCAAGGAATAGGAATAAAAATCCGATTCGGATTCGGAATAGGAATCGGAATAGGAATAGCAATGGGAATCATCGACGGCGACAGACATAAAAACGAAATATAAATTGCGTAGCGCTGACCTTCATTTCGGGCCAAGTAATTTTTCATAAACAATTTACGCGTTTCAGTCTATACAGTCTATATGTGTACGGTACATATACAAGTATATGCATATATACAGCGAGGTGTTTGGGGCATCATAACATCTTGTTTTGTGTGGCAGCTGCCGTGGATGCTACGCATAATTATTCATGGCTGTGCGCATATAGGGTATGTAGCTGGGCGATCTGGGCAGTCGTGGGATAATCCGCGATTTATGTTATCAAACAGAACGTTGGCGGTGTCACAATATTGAAACATTAGCTGCTGAAACTACGACTGGTGTCTGGACTCCACACTGTATCTCAGGGCATATATCTACTCTGATTTTCGCCAGCTGGTGGCAGCATTTGTTGGGATCGATATGGGGGCAGGATGTCAGGGGACTTACCGTTCCGATCGCCGGGACAGGTCTTGCAGCATTTTCCGGGCAGCGAGATGGGATCATCGCATTTGGCCGGCGGACACTCGTTTTTGATATTGCGACACTGGACGCGTGCAACGATGCGCCGCTTCTTGGGTATCTGAAAAACAGAATGGGAAAAAGATATTTTCTATTAAAAAAACAGCGTAAAAACTGATTGGAATTAGTAGTGCAGATTCCCAGGCCTGTCAACTGCCGCACTGATTTATGCCTGCGAATCTGGTCTAAATCGTGGCTAAATCCAGCTCTCGATCAAGATCCCGACCAAAAATATCGGCGTCTGGTCCATATAGATATAGAAATTCGCCTTTTGGTTCGCCTTTTTATAATTCAAATAATTTTTATGAATTCGCAGAGCTCTTTGGCTGCTGCTGTTTGTCTTTTTGATGTTCACCCCATTGCCTTTCTGTTTTTGGTTTTTGGTCTTTGGTCTTTGGTTTTTTGTTTTTATTATTAATTTTTATTGGTCGCCAGTGCCGCTGATGATGATGCTGATGATGTAGCCGCTGTGCTTAAAGTTCAACAGCAGCAACATGTTTTAAATATATTTTATGATGTGCTCATTTGCGACGCTTGCAGCCAGCATAAATTATAATTAATTAATTTCAAAGCTGACTTTTATGCAATGCACATTAAAAGTTAATGTAAACCCAAAAAGAAACAGCAGTACCCATTTCGATTGCTGGCATATGCGCACTGGAGAAATCGCAGCTTCTGACCAGACCATTATCCCTACATCTGTGTGCATATAGTACACTATACATATATACACGCTGTATATATAGTTATATATAACTGGCCCGTCTGGTCCATCGCAGACTAGCAACAACAACTCACGCCCGCCCGGTGGCGTCAATTAATTTTCGTCTCCCGACCACGAATACGCATCTATATCTACGAGTATATTCTATATCTATATGGGACCTCATGTTTTTTACCCGGCGAGGACACGAGTGACATTTTTATGTGTCGCTTGGGAAAATTTCCCAGTAGTGCCCTCGTTCCCCCCATTTTTTTGTTTTTTTGTTTTTTTGTTGGTAGTGCAACATTTTGTTCGGTATTTTTGCGTAATTCAATCGAACATCCACGAAAATGCTGAATTTGTTTCTTGAATTTGGCAAGGTCCGCAGAATCTGTTGAGTATTTGGCTGCGATTCGTAACAGATCGCGTAAAGAGCTTTAAAATCGATATTAATCATGCGTGGAAATGCCATAAATTTAGCGAGCAACACAATCATTTTCATTTCGCATTTTCAGTGCCACTTTCCCTGCGATTTTTCGCAGCTTGTTGCGAATGTCGGCGATCATTAGTCAATTTTCTTTGCGAAATCGAAATTCTTGGCTATCCAACTTCCCAAATACTCACGAAAATCTCCCCTTAACTTTATAAATCGTTGAGTAATTAAGTAGTTACTTACCGCTACGCATTCACACTTGATGCAGTACATAACTCCGAAGGGTGGACCCAAATCCGCATACCAGGTGGACCCTAATTCGCGCAAAACTTTGCCAAACTGGCATTCGGTGACTGAAAGTAAATGGAAAAAAGGCAAAAATAAATATCTCATTCTGCTCGGTTTCCTCAATTGCCATTTAAAATCTATGGCATTGTACGTATATGTTTACTATTTTTTTCAGGTTGCTGGCGCCAGTGCAATTGCAATTGCAATTGCCTCTGTATAGATTTGTATATATATAAATGAACAGCCGATGCCTATTTATCATCAGGCGGCGATGATGCAAGGCGAGTCTAATAATTATAATGAAAATTTATAAAAATTCTAATGACAGACGCCCACAAAGAAGATGCAATCCAATGGGGATTGCCAATCGATCAGCAACTAATTAACTTCAATCGAGCTACACGCAGCTGGAAGCCCATCTTAAACTTATTTGGTTTTTGGTTCAGGTTTTCCATGCCACTTCCTTGCGATACTCAGATACTCAGATACTAAGATCCAATTCGGGTGGGCAGACCGATGCAATCAGAATTGCAGAACGTTTTCAGCCAAAAGCGGCGAAACGTACGTACGAATCGAAAAAAAAAAAAAAAAAACTGGCGCCACATTCGCTGAGAGGCGTTGAGTCGCTTCCGGCAGCGTTTTCAATTACAAATACAAGTACACTGAGCAATGTTTTACCGCACGATTTCAAAAGATTTGTCTTTAGAAAAAACAACTGTTCGGGGAACTTAGATACTGGCTTGAATAGATACAATGCTTACAGTGTTTTCCTTAAGGACACATAATATAGCGCAGGCTTAGCTATTTTATAAATCGAGATAACCAGTCTTTGGACCCACACCAACTACAAAACTGATGCCTAATTAATTGCCGTGCAGCTAAGTGGATTAAGAAGAAGCGGCGTCTCTCTGGGGCGCCAACAAGTGTCAAATTGTGGGATTGGACCGAAGAAATAGTTAAATATACGACCACGAGGAGCATCATCGGCACCCATCCACTTTGATAGTCTCAATTTCATTAGCATCATTTTTGGGATTACGTTTTTCGGCTCGGGCTTCTTCTTCTCTTTTTTTCTTTTTTTATGTTTTATATTTGTTTTTTTTTTGTTTAATTTTTGTTAATTGGCTGCGTGCGAGCGGCGAAACTTTGCACAAAATGCCACAAATCGTATGCAAATCGAAAACGCGACGCGTTATATTATTAATATATGTACCTTCGTCGGTGTCGCGGCAAAATTATGCTAAAACTTTTGGCGCCACTCATAAAAAATGTAAACGAAACAAAAGGAAAAAGCCGCCGATAAAAAAGGCAAAACGGCCAATCGGAAACATGGCAATGAGTTTTTGGGGTGGGGAAAATGAATTCAATTAAAACAAAAGGTCGCAGCAGAAACGCGCCAATGTCGCGAGTAAAACGCGCCGAAAACGCTGTCTTTTTGAAATGTAATGCAGTCTAATGTAGAAACGTTAATAGATTAAATGCGTGTCATGTGAAACGCTACCTTTATCAATTCAAAATATACATTAAGTAGATATTTTTCTGCGTGTATCCAATCACCGGCAGTTGACACCTGTTTCTCGGCGTCGCTGCTCTGTGGCTCCCCCGCGGTTATCGCACACCTCGTTCACACACGATTCCATATATCTGCTCCGACTTTTTCGCATTTGCTCGCCAAATGGCTGGAAAGTAGTTAGAACTAATGGGCAGCGAAAAGGGGGGCGACAATGAACCAATTAGCCGCATACACGTGATAGCTGGCTATCTGTTTCTGCTCCACCTGAAACATCTGAAACATCTGAACCACTAGCCAATGAACCACTGAACCACTGAGCCACTGAGCCACTGAACCACTGAACCACTGAACCACCGAGCCAATGAGAGAAGCAGCACCAGCGGAGCCGAAAAGCAGCGTAAAACCACCGAATCTGGGGACGGCGCCATGGCGTATACGTGATAAGTGGCGCTAACGACGCGCGGCGTTTATCAATTTTTGTTGTTGCCTCTTGTCATTGGCGCCAGTTTTATTTGCGTGCGAAACAATTTAAATACAACAAAAACGCATCAGCGAAACAATGAAAATAAGCCCCGAGCGCAATAGATTTATAAGTAGGAGAAGAACGCGTAGTATATATTATATATACATATAGGGCGATAATACGCAGGCAAATCCATTAATCACACTGCAAGTCTTGATCTCGCCCTGTCACACATTTCCCAGAAAGCGCCTCGCATAACAATCAAATTAATTAAATAGAAATTCATTTAATTGTGGCCAAACAAATTCTAGTTGAGCAGGCCTTACTTCTAATGTGCTGCCCGATATGATAACTTGCTAACCCCCAAAAAAATAAATAAAGGGAGAATTAAGTGCCCGCATGCCAATTAGGCGCAGGAAAGGTGTGATTACGAATATTTGTAGATCAAAAGGCATAATTGGGCAATGCTATCAAACGCTAATTATATGGAAATGGTGGAAAAAAGTGCCCCAATCTTTTTTGTGGGGCCATCTTTGGCGCTATCTCGCTCTCCTGACACTCCACTTCCTGTTTTGGGGCTCTGCTGTTGTTTTTGCCATTATTGTTGCCGTTGCCACAACTTGTCTAGACATTTGATGTATGACCGCGCATAATAACAGAAAACAAATTGCGCCCAATTTCGCCACTTGTTTGTTTGCCCCTGCACTTAGCAGCGAACAGAATTCGATTTTCGATCGTTTTCATTTGATTGACAAGCTGATTGCGAACAACATCGAAATTTGTGCAATACAGCCGTGTAAATATTCTGTGCAAAAATGTTTGCGAAATTGCAGCGTGGGTGAAACAGCAAAGTTTAATTTAAGACGAAATGTCTAGAAATAAATTTCATACTTGTTGGCCCATCCTCGCCCCTTCCCTGCAGCTCTTCCCCATTTTTGTTTGCAGTGCATTGACTCACACGCACACACGTGCATGTGGGCGAAATGTGCAACAAATTATGCTGCATGAACGGAAAGAGCCGAAACTCGAAAGTGTCTGGGCAAACATTTGTGGCATACGAGTCATTAGCAAACAAATGTTAAAAATACTAAAGACATCCACATCCTCGCTGGCAGCACTTTCAGTTGCCAGGCGACAATGGTTTTCAAAGAAAGCATTCCACAATCAGGTGGCAAGTATTTAAATGTGCACAAATGTACCTCTGGGTATAGTTTAGTATTTTCTAATTAGTTCTGAGCACTTCACCTATGTGAAATAAGCGAAGGCTCCCTCTTCGACCAATTTGTGTGGTGTGCCATCGCAACGCGCGGCATTAAGACAACAAACTAATGGTCTCCATTTCTTTTTTGTGCTTCTGCAATGTGCTAATTACAGTCAGAAGAAGACAGGACCAGCGAAAAAGGCCTAACAATGATGGGTCGTGTTGGTGGCTCTTTGTTGGCCCAAAGGAAAATGGACCACAAGATTTTCGCCTGTTGCCAAATGCGTTGCAGTCGACGTCGCCGTCGCGTCGCCGTCGACGTCGCTGACTCACATGACGCAGAACCAGCGGCGTCGAATTGTCGGCTATTTTTTGTAGACACACACACACTCAAACATCCGCATGTATATACCCATGCACATGTGTGTGTGTACCTTATGTACAGATCGGCGTACATATAGTGGGGCATATACAGGGACAGAGCGAAGTGCCTTTGAAATTTTGGCGCTCGTACGCGCTTTTAATTGAGCTAAAAGATCAGCACAGATCGGTGCATATAGCTTTTGCGAGATATATAGAGCAGGCCGAATCTGTTTTCACTTATCTATAGCACGCATATGCACATACATACTCGTATGTTTGTTGCTATATATTTATTTATTTATTTATTTTCGCCCGCTTTTTTCTGCTCTTGTTTAATGGCGTTTTTATTTTGCGCCTCAATTAATTGTGGCAAAATAATTAGCGCAAATGTTAAAGCTCAACGCTGGCCATCATAAAATTCAATGAAAAGCGGCCAGCACATTAAGCCAATGTTGCTGATATTCTTTTTGGGGATCTCACGGGGATCTGGCTTAACCAAAAACCGACGATTGCACTTTTCGGCCTCTTCAAATTTGACAGCCACGAGTGTTGAACTGTCAATCAGTCCATCGGTCAATCAATCAGTCGCAATGATTGGAATGAGTTCTTGCAGGCGGCGAACAACAAAAACCGGGGCGATAAAACTAAATGAAATATTTGTTCAAATGGTTCGCCAGCCAGAGACTTGTTTGTTTTATAAGCAATTAAATTATTTAAGTGCAAAGCAAACAGAGTCGAAATGCCTTTACAGTACTCTCTTTTTCTCATTTTTCCCCTTTTTTTTGGGGACACGCCAGTCCTAATGAAGATTTCTAATGGTTGATTAAGTGCGTCGCTCGCAGACGTTGCACTGCGAGAAACGGGGGCTGGCACTTGTCCGCTGCTAAAGTGTAAGCATTGCCTCTGTGATATTTCGCAGCAAGTCGCTCTAGCTATAGGTGTTGCCTAATGGACCTAATGGTATACGAAACTGCCGCCCGATTTGGCCCAGTGCAGCCCGAGGGGCGGGGCAGAGGGGCTGGAGAGGAGCCTTGTCGTCAACGCTTGTGGTCGCTGATAATTTATGACAGCCGCGGAGAGGGGGGGCAAACAAACATCGGCTGGCGGTGGCAACAAAGCAAACAACAACAAAACCAAACCGATGGGCAAACATGGGCCTCCCTCTGCGCCTCTTGAACTGCCCCACCCACCCAGGTGTGACAACCACCCACCCACCGCCACTGCCGATTGCCCCAAGAGGAGAAAGAAAAACAAAGTTCAAAAGTGAAAATGCCGCTGCGAAATGCCCCAAAAAGCCATAAGACCAAAAAAAAAAAAATAAAAAAAAGGGGGGCTCGTTCAGTTCTTGTGGTTGCTTTGGTTTCTCCTCTCTCTTTTCGTTTCATTTCCTTTCCCTTCTTCTCTTTTCACTTGCGTTTCCTCTGGGTTTGCAGCCAAGAATTGCTAACATAAAACAACAAAAAAATGTAAGAAAGAAAGCAATTTTCCTACGCTGCATTTTGGCTTATGTAAAGGAAAGCAGTTT